TAAAATTAATAATAGTAATAATAATAAAAAAAAAATAATAATTATAATAATAATAAAAATAATAATAATAATAATAATAATAATAATAATAATAACAATAATAATAATAATATTAATATTAATAATAAAAAATAATAATAATAATAATAATAATAAAAATAGTAGTAATAATAATAATAATAATAATAATAATAATAAAAATAATAATAATAATAATATTAATAATAAAAATAAAAATAATAATAATAATAAAAATAATAATAATAATAATAATAATATTAATAATAAAAATAAGATTAAAATAATAATATTATTAATAATAAAAATAAAAATAAAAATAATAATAATAAAAATAATAATAATAATAATAAAAATTATGATATCTTTAATCTTTCTTTGAATGATAAATTTATTATTATTTAATTTATTAAATTTATTAAAGTATTTGAAATTTGAGGTTTGTGGATTTTGCAGCTGCATATGACTAGCTCGACACGGCAGCTCATCAATCTCAACAGTTTTTATATACCTAATGCCAATACCCTTCTGTCATGTCTTTCATCAATGTCAATGCTTTCATCTGTTACATGTTTTAACACAAACCCAATATGCTCCATTTTCAGCCCTTTTCAGGGTATAAAAACATGATTTACTCGTCTCATGAAACAGATTTCAGCATCAGCATTGAGTGCAATATGCAAAACACGAACATGTTTAAAGCTAACATTTCATAGTTTAACTATCTAACAGAAGTATATATATACCTACATATATATATAAGCTTATATAGCTGCGAAATATAAAATAGCACCAGTTCAATTCAGCTCTTGGGCATGCATATTTAGAGTGAAAGTTTTTGGTCTATGTACCCTTAGGATTTACCAATTAGATAACAGAATTGGCATGGCCGACTAAGAGGAATAAACTGAAATGAATAGAAAATCATGGCAAAGACAAAAAATTAAGCCCCCATGGCTGATAGATAAGATTCGCATTTGCTTTCACTCTTGCACATACAAACGAGGCAGCCCGAGCCCGCAGCCACACATCGAACTGTTTGCGGTAAGATAAACGTGGCGCGTTTTATTTTTTTGTGCCCCAACTGAAAATGCGACAGTTTTTAAGTGAGGCGTTGATAAATTGCATTGATTTATCAAATCTACTCGCTCATGTAAGCATGTGTTGATAGCAGCGTGGGTGTGTGAGTGTGTGTGTGTGTAGGTGTAGCTAAAAAAGGCAGCACTGTCGCTGGGAGTTCATAAATATGTGGCATCCAGATGGCCGCCAGATAAGCGAACGTTGGCAGTGCCATAAACTACAGAAGCTTTTTGTGGCCTGGCGTGGAGCGATTTAAGCTGTTTATTGATATAGGCTAACAGGTTTGTTTGTTGGCCCTAATGGCTGCTAGCCGAGCAGCGACAAATGTCGAGCACAAAAATTATTGTACAAAATTATGATAGAAATTAAATCATAAAGCTTGAGTTATGCAATGGAATTTGATATGAAATTTCCTGTGCAGTTTCTAAAATTCAATTAGCTAAGTGAAGCACAAACAAAATTATACTAAAATATATATGCATGTGTGTGTGTGCTTAGGTGTGTGTTGTTGTGTAGACAGCCTTGAGGCTGCTTGGCCATTGTATTAACAAATTAATTACGAGCGAAGCAAACAATGCGACAAAAGCTGACATTTCGCTCGGCGCACACAACTTTATCAAAGGCTTCAGCGAAACTTGTAGCAAAACATTAGAAACGCTGCACGAATTGCTGCAGCTGCGCTCCTCTAAAGCCAACATTTAATCAGCCCCAAATCATGGCACGCTTCTGGCCACTATTAAAGCGTCTTGGCTTGGCCTTTGGCCTATCGCACATTATTTACATTTACAATTATGTAAACGACTTTATATTTCAAGTAGATTTGCCATTTGCCCAAATCTCATTCCAGCTGCAGCCCCTTTTTGGTAAAGGTCGCCCGAATTTCACTCTTCATCGACTGACAAAAGACGTGAAGGCTTTAATTTCTTGTGCCTTTGGGCCTCAACTCATTGAAGCCAAAGCAACTCGGGCTTTGATTTTAAATGTTGATATTATACAAATTGCTGCTGATTGCGTCAAAGGACAATTAGTGCTCGACTGGGTGTATACCCTAACCAGATGCAGCTAAGACTAAAGCAATTACATTATTTTTAGTTATCAGATCTTCTTCAAGTATGGCCTTAAAATAAAGTTATTACATCACTGTAGACAGCACTACTATTAATTAAATTTATATTATATTATATTAATTATAATATAGAAAATCGAGCATTGGTATCAATATTTAGCGCTTATCATAAATAGAAAGTGCCTGATTAGCTAAATACCCAGTCTATGTTACAGCATTTCTATAAATAATACATATATATATATTTCTTGATTTTTATATATTCAAGTATTGCTTAAAATCGAGTTTCCATTTCCATATGTATATGTATTTACATAAGTAAATTTTTCTTCACATTTTTCTTCTTTATTCATCTGCTGATATTGCCTAGAAATCCAGTTTCAATAACAATATTAATCAGTGGACACTACTAGGATATGCCAGACTAACTAAATACTCAGCTAACAAGTGCAATATATATATGTGATAAAAAATATATATTAAAATTTGTTTAAATAATCGAGAGCAGCTATCGAAAAATTTATAAATTTAATTTTCAAATGAAGCAATTTATTGAAAATTGCACAGAAATTTGCAGAAGATTTTCTGAATAATTTATATAAGCTGTCGACTTTTCGGACTGTTCCTCAAATTTATACAAAACCAGTTTACCCTATTTAATCATATTTACGGGGTATATAATTTGCTTATTGTAAATGAAGGAGCTTAAGAAAGGGCAAGAAATTTAAATACAATTGCAAATGCATTCAAAGTCTTAATCTGCTATTCAGCATTAGGTCAAACAGAAGAGGTATATATATATATATAAATATAAATATATATATACATATATATATAATTACATTGCCTTATCTGCAATGGATATTCATAATTGCAAAAGTCTCTGTCGTGCAATTAAGACCAATAGAACTAAATTGTTATTTTATTGATGCAAACTATTTCGCAGTAATAAATTCATAAGACATTAATTTTCATCTTCATTTTCATTAAGTGCAACTAAGTTCGCTCGGCTAATTAAAATTTGCGCAAAATTGCAATATGAAGGAGAATCAAATCAAATTTCGTGGAACTTTAAACTGTGCGCGATGCTGTAAGAGTTTCCGGGAAACCTTCTTAAATGCTCCTTGGGAATTTCGCCAGAAACTTTTTATGTGGTTCAAATGATGCCGTCAAGTGAGCTGCAGCTCAGAGTAAATAAGCCACAGCAACAAGTCAAGGGGCATCACATTGCCAGCAAAGTGTTTACTGGCTTTCTGCATATCTGGCTAAGCAGGCTTAGCGCCTTCGTCGAGTCTGAGCACTAGAAAAAGGTGACAATTGAAATGTTTTACATAAATTCTAATGCAAATTGTGTGAAAGTACTTCTAGTTGAGTCTACATGACTTACAAATACCCTAACCTGCGTTTTCAGGCTGCTAAGAAGTCATCTAACACTAGACTTAACTTAGGCAATAGACTTATTATTAGTTGACTATTATGGCCTAAACTAAATCAAATGATACTCAGTTCGGTCCGAAATTCCTGGATTATAGCTAGGATAATTCATTGAACCTTGACTACGATTGATGAAAGATGAAGATGAAAGATGATGACAGACGAAAGCAGAACGGCTTCTTCTATACTTCTAGGTTCTTCAAATACAGCATTGAGTGCTTCGAAATCATAAGGCTTGCAGTGTTTTCCTGAATGTATGTGCACAAAGTTTTTTTAAGAAAACAAAAGTAGTTTTTAATACCTGGGCACAGGGTATTTGGCAGACGGATACATTCCATTTGCGGCTTCTTTTTTGGCATTTTGCTGATGAAAATTGAAGCGCTTCGCAGCACATGATTTGCAGCGGGTTGAAAAAGCAAACGTTGACTTAAAGCAAACATAAAGAACTTAAAATAAATTGTTCATGTTTTTGCAAGCTAATTGCAAAAAGTTTCCACTAGCTGAGCTTTAAGTTACAGAATAATAGCGCAGCCAAGTTTATGTCCTCAATCAACTGGAGTCGCTTCGCACGGCGAGCACCACTAAGGAGTTCATATGCGACGAAACTGTCATTACATTTCCAGCCATTAAACACACACACACACACACACACTCGCACACACACAGTGGGTCGTAAAATGTAACTGACGTTGCGGCAAGCTGAAACGATGGTTCGGGCTAACTTCGCTGGGATTCACTGGTTGAAAAGGACGTCCTCGTAATTGAAATCTGTGCGTGGCTTTTGCATTGACAGCTCCCAGGCATTTCTTTGCCATAAAAATATGAATAGTTCGTCATTGAACAGTCGCAGTTCACTTGCAATTGCCCTTTGTGCTTGGACCGGAGCTTTAAAGTCTTTAAACTCCCCTGAAAACATCAAAATGTATTTAGTTGGCCCGGCATAAAAATCTGCATAAAACATAAAAAGATGCTGAGGCAACATGGTTTCATGGTAATTTCAAAAGTTAATGCACTAAGAAAATAAACAAGTCGGGCAACGGCTGTAGAGAGTGCCTGACTAGGAGGCACCTTCACTACTGCTACTTGCACAGCAACACCCCACAACATTATGCCATTATCACATCTATAAAGCAGCTGGCTTGAACTTATAGTATGTATCCTTTCTCTTTCAACATATTCCAGATCTATACACGATGAGTTAAAGTAGTTATCATTCTGTTTGGCCAAACGAATCAATCTCTGACCTAAAGCTGCTTCGGTTAATACATTTTCACTGTGTCGCATCGCTTTACTCTAGGGGCCTAAATGTTATTGTATAGATCTATTCAATCAAAAATTCTGCTTGTAAGAGTTTCGTAGTTGGACTAAGGCGACTAAGGCATACCCTTAATGCATCGAATAGCTACAATGGGGTAAACTGATTCTCTCGGTTTTCGATTATCTTTGCTTCGATGATCTCTGCCCCCGATGAATTTTCCTCTGATGAATTCTGCCTTCGATGATCTCTGCTCTCGATGATCTCTGCTCTCGATGATCTCTGCTCTCGATGATCTCTGCTCTCGATGATCTCTGCTCTCGATGATCTCTGCTCTCGATGATCTCTGCTCTCGATGATCTCTGCTCTCGATGATCTCTGCTCTCGATGATCTCTGCTCTCGATGATCTCTGCTCTCGATGATCTCTGCTCTCGATGATCTCTGCTTTCGATAATCTCTGCTTTCGATAATCTCTGCTTTCGATAATCTCTGCTTTCGATAATCTCTGCTTTCGATAATCTCTGCTTTCGATGATCTCTGCTTTCGATGATCTCTGCTTTCGATGATCTCTGCTTTCGATGATCTCTGCTTTCGATGATCTCTGCTTTCGATGATCTCTGCTTTCGATGATCTCTGCTTTCGATGATCTCTGCCTCCGATGATCTCTGATTCCGATGATCTCTGATTCCGATGATCTCTGCCTCTGATGAGCTCTGATTCCGATGATCTTTACCTCTGATGATCTCTGCCTCCGATGATCTCTGCCTCCGATGATCTCTGCCTCCGATGATCTCTGCCTCCGATGATCTCTGCCTCCGATGATCTCTGCCTCCGATGATCTCTGCCTCCGATGATCTCTGCCTCCGATGATCTCTGCCTCCGATGATCTCTGCCTCCGATGATCTCTGCCTCCGATGATCTCTGCCTCCGATGATCTCTGCCACCGATGAATTCTGATCACACAATGTCATAATGACTTTACAGAGTTTTTCTTAATAGTCATTAACTTAATAACCATAATAGACAATGACAATGACAATTTACTTAATGATGCTTGGCACAAAGATCATTAACACAATGATTATTATGCTATCTTATCTATACAATTGTTAATATAACTAATATTTAAACAATTGCTTAAAATTATTAATAACTATTACAATTTTGCTTAAAGTACTTAAAATTATTAACTATTTAAATATTTACCTTACTGCACTGCACTGCACGACCGTCCACCAGGCGCCCTGGGCTGCGACTGAAGCGCGCTGCAGCTGGCTGCCCTTTATATAGGGCGACTTCCACTCAAACTTTAAATGGCGCTCAATTCTTGAGTCTTTCTTTGAGTTGGATTTTTACACTCGATCATTGCGTGACAAATGAGTGTGCTTTATCTGCTGTTTCACGCATTCTAGCTTAGTTTTCTTTAAATATAAATGCTAAATACACACTGCTGCACACATATAGACAGCTTAAAAGCTCTTCTTCGGCTGAGCTTTGTATCTTGCCTTGCTTGAGCGGACAGAGTGAAAAATAGCCAGACAGAGTGGAAAATAGGCAGATAGATATAGAGGCAGACAGACAGAGAGACAAATGGACAGCCAGACATAGTTGAATCTCTCTCTCTTTTCAAGAATCCTTCTATGTGCTCTCTCTCGTTGACTACAAGCTCAGCTGCTAAAGCATTTATATAAATAGAAACTGAGTTAATTCTCTTACAGCTTTTTCATTAAATACACTTTTTGAATAGATTCATTATTATGAGCTACCTTGTTTAACTTATGAATAAAATGGTTTTACCATTTATTTAATTTATTAATATTTTTTTATCTGCATTGTATTTTCCATGCGAAGTATTTTGAAACTCACTTTTAATTTGTAAAATTTTGAAGCTTCGATGCACAAATTCATTTAAAGCTTGTGTTCTTTTATTTGTTCTGAAAAATTCAATTAAAAATATACTAAACTTAATGGAAAATTAAACTTTAATGCATATTGAATTTGTTTTTGTTTTGTTTACAGTGCGCAGCAACAACAAAAACATCAATTAAAATATCTGCGAAATTTATCGAAGCGAAAAAAAACTTTGAAATGCAACAGGAAACGAAACATGTGGAAATTGAATTAATAATTCGCGCTTGAACAGTTCAGTATTCAGTGAGAGAGTTAAAAGTGCAAAGAAATTATAATCCTTAGCCATGATGAGCAGTGTTACCAGCATTGCCATGGACATGGAAATGGAGACCGAGTCGGAGTCGCCTCTAAGCCCATTGAATGTCACGCAAGCCCTCTGGGAGCTGGCGATGTCAACGACGTCGGAGACACCCTTCTCCGATGACAACAACAACAGCATCGCCGTCACTGAGATATCCTACGTGCCCTATGCCCGGCGACCGGAAACGTATATAGTGCCCATATTGTTTGCCATCATCTTTGTGGTCGGCGTCCTAGGCAATGGAACTCTGATTGTGGTCTTCCTGAGCGTACGACAAATGCGAAATGTGCCCAATACGTGAGTCAGAAAATTTAATTAAATAGAAGCTATAACAATAATTATAATACATAATAAATATAATAAATATTTTTTATATATAATACTTAAATATTTATTTTATTTTTAAATAATTCCAATTTAAATATATATTGAAATATTTTCAATGTATTTACATGTATCCAGTATATCAAAATATTTGTAATATTTGCTTTATTTTTCTCAATTTTTTTTCATTTTAACATTTTTTAATTTTTTTTGTTGTATTTTTTTGTTGTATTTTATTTTTTGTGTTCTTAAAATATTTTCCACATTATAAAATATTTCCTATATTTTTAATATATTTTCCATATTTTCAAGTTATTTTCCATATTTTAAAATTTATTTTTAAAATATTTTCAAAATATTTTCAATTTTTTTAAAATATTTTCTTTTTTTATTTCAATTTGTTTACACACTTTTAATTAATTCCACATTTTGCAATTTTTTTTATCTGAATTATTTTCAAATTTATTTTCAATTTGTTTTCCTCACGGATAATAGTTTCAACTTGGCTGTCGCCACAGGGTATTGCCTAGTCGAGCAGTTCACGTCCAATCTATTACTGTTTGTGCGAAAGAAGTTTTGGTTAAGCCTAAATAGAATTTAATTAGGCGCAGCTTCTGCTCTCGTAAATTACCAAATTACGCATGCAACAAGCCCAAAAGTCAAGCAGCAAATGAAGCAAAAAAAAAGTGCGGTGGGCGTGGCAAGTGAATACAGCTTGACTCTGTCTTGAACTCATCGGTCTGCCACATTTGCATATTAACTCCAAGAGGACGAAAATAGATTTGTGGCCTTATGCGCTCTGCTAATTAGCCAAAATTGTTCAACGTCTTGGCTTGCCTGGGCGTGTGACTGCCTCTTAGCCCAAATTGTCTGTCATAAATCAAGTTATTGTTTTGCCACAGTCTCATGGGATTTTGCTTAAAGACAAATTTCTACTCTCATCAGCTGAAGCTCAATTCGTGTGCTTTAAGCCAAATTCAATATTGAACTGAAATTGAGCTCCAATGCATTTCGAGTATCAAATCATCTTGAATTTATGGCTTTTCGGGCAGTTAAAAGAGCGTAATAAAAGAAAAGTTCGAATAAGTTGAATCTATTTGCTCCAAAATTTATAGAAAGTCAATTTTTGCGTTTACTATTTGCACGTGTCGCATATTTTGACAACGAATTACGTCTGAAATTACAATAATTGCGGATGTGCTTGACTAGGAAATATCCGTTACACAATGTTGTCTGACATGTGTGTAAATATATGATAATTCGATTTAACTGTGATGGGATCTAACTAAGAATGTCTGTCTGCTTGTCAATCTTGTCTATATATGATCAGATATAACTAAGCTAGAAGGCTAGAAATAGCCCACAAGTCATATGTATAACACATGTATATAGGACATAGATAATTATAGCAAACATAGAAATTATGGAGATCATGGAGGAGCTGAAGGCGGAGATAATCGAAAGAAGAGATCATCGTAGGCAGAGAGCGTCGTAGGCATCATCGGAGGCAGAGAGATCAACAAAATCAGATTGATCATCAGAAACATAGAGATCATCAGAGAGAACGTCAGAGAGATCAGCAGAGAGAACGTCAGAGAGATCAGCAGAGAGATTATCAAAGAGATCGTCAGAGAGATCGTCAGAGAGAACGTCAGAGAGATCGTCAGAGGGATTGTTAAAGAAATCATCATAGAGATCAGCAGAGAGATTATCAAAGAGATCGTCAGAGAGATCGTCAGAGAGATTGTTAAAGAGATCATCAGAGGTATCATGGAAGAATCATATATTGATCGTCTGATCGTTCCGAAGAACTTGACTAAATGAAACATAATTAAAAGGCTTTAGTTGCTAAAGAAATTACTTAATGATAATCAGAATTGTTATACTTATCACAGTCATCCCAGTCAGAGTTATCAAAGTCATTATAATCGTCGCAAAATTCTCAAATAATTTACATGTTTCCAAGGAGTTTTCGCCTAGCAAGAGTATTTCTAAGTCGAGCACTCACTTGTTATTCAAGCAATATTCAAATTTTATGACGGCAACATTAAAAACGTGTAAAAACATTTTGACAGCTGATGCCAAATGTATAAGACTCGTTGGCGGTTCCAATAAGCTTAACAAAAATCGATGCAATTCGAGATGTTCCTAATCAGCTTAGGAAGGTACATAAAACTGAAACATGAAAGAACTTCACCAGGTGTTTTTCATAAAAAGTACATCAATTTGGCACTTCGTTTTTCAATTTGCTATTTGAAATTTACAGATGAGGGAACAGGGCTGGGGAATAGGGTTAGCCTCTCTATAAAAGCAATTTCCTGTTATTAAATGTCTTCATAGCTTGTGAAAATGACTGAATTAATTAGCTGCAATCAATTGCATTGACGGAGGGAAACGTTTACTGAAGACTCTGAGGACAACTTCGAACTGTGGCAACAATTCAATGAATGAAACTTTCATGCTGGAAACTTACGCAGCGCTGCCAAGATTCCATCAATTGAACAATTGAAGCCAATTAAAATATATATAAAATGCTGGCCACACTTCGTCTTGAGTATGAAATGTCAAAGTAATTTCCCAAGTAATTAATCGAGTAGTTGCAGTTGGGCAAAAGTAAAAGCCAAAAGCCAAAGGCATTTCCCGCTCACGTTTCTCACATAAAACTCGTTTACTCGAAGGCAGCCGGAGATGAATCTGATCACATTAAACTGAAATTGCAGCTCTTGGCCAAAATGGCGAATCTCAGTTCGCCTTTCAGACACCAAATACGAGTGGCCAGATGCTTATCAATCGTGCAGCAGCAGTGCAATTTGCTGTTGCGCAAACAGCGTGCCACATGCACCATGTTTATTGCAAACCCACACGTGCCACAAAAATCCATAGAGATGCAATTCCAAATGCCGTAATGCGACAGCTGCATATATATTCTCAAAAAAAAAAAAAAAAAATACACAAGTCCTGAGTCTGTTGCAAGAGATATCTATAATTATATGCAGGTTGTTAAAGTCAAAAGAGAAGAATATTCCTTTTATGCAATATCCAATCTGTTTTTTATATAAAGCTAAAAACTTGTCATTTGATGAATATATAATCCAGTTAACGCTTAGCTGAAGTGTCTTTAAGATATTCCCACTTTTAATTTCATGAATATATCGAACTCTTATCGAACTGTCTTTAGGACATTCCCACTGAGGACGTAACCATTCAAGCTGAAGACCTTAAGCTTCAAATATATAGATGTGCATGTGGGCTTCAGATAGATGTGACAGGGCTTATGTATACCCGTCTATTGATAGACTAGAAAAAGCTGCATGTTGCAATGCCAGAGGCAGCTAGTTCAATGTTGTCTTTCTCTACTAATGGAGCCATAAGCAAAATGGCCTCCTTGAGGCAAGGCAAATTTTTAATTATTTTAATAATTATTATTTATTTTAATTAATATTTAATTTTTTTATATAATGAGCGGGTATATTGTAGTCAGTTAAACACGACTCGTACTTCTTTAATATATGTTTTTTTATTGTCTTAGCTATATAAATGTAAAATATAATGCTGAAATTGTTCTAAATTTAAATTGAAAAAATTCAAGCCACATGAGGATGGTTTATAGAGATAATGAATTCATGTTTCTCTAAAAAAATGATTACTTAATAATTATAATTTATAGTTTATAATCATTATTAAGCCCTATAGTTCCCATAGTTTTCGCTTGCATTTCTTAAGTATTTTTCTAGGTCATTTGCTAGAATTTCTAAATATTTTATCAGCAGTTTCATGCTGGAAATATTTTTATTTATTTGAACTAAATTAACCAAATTCATTATAAAAAAAAAATATTTTTATATCTTTAAATATTTCACCAATCTATAAGTTCTCAAGCCCTCCTTGCAATTTCTTGCAGTTTACATTTACTTTATTCAAATATTCTACCCTTAACATGAACTTTAATGCTTGGCTAAGAGATTTCTGTGGCACATGCTAAGACGTCAAAAGCACTTTGGGCATCCTTTTCGATTTTGTCTGCTTCTTCTCTTATGCTTAATAAAGTGTCATATAAATCAATTTTATCAGCGCGAGCCGACGAAATTGTTTTACATGGGCCATGGCAAAGGAAGCGCAAATTTGACTAAAGTTGAGCTACATAAATCAGCAGAGCGAAACACGTGCGGGCGACCCAAGGGTCAGCTTGGTTGGCTCAAGTCGGCATTCATGAGACCCTCACATTTTGCGCTTCAAAAGTTTTCCAAGTTGATTTAGCTCTTTCTCTTTGTCTTTCTCTTGCTACAACCCAAACCACTGTTGATCGGAATTAATTGGTGAGTTGAGTTGAGTTTGTCCTGTCCGTTAATATGTCAATTTGTCTAACACTCGGACCCTCTGCCTATTGTCCTTTCGTCAGGCTGCGCGCCTGTCTATCTATAGTTTCGTGTGTTTATCCTCACATTATTGGTCTGTCCGTCAGTCCATCTCACTGCCCATATCTCTTCTCACTTTCCAACTTTCCACGTGTTGTCTATCCATCTCCGTTTGTCCTTCCGTCCGTCCTATCTCCTGCTCGTATGTATCAACGCTTCAATCTCGAAAACAAGTATATTTGAAATCATCGATATTAATCGATTATAATCGTTATCAAAAGTTGCTTATTTAAGCATAGCTCGCATATTACACGAGTTAAGGTCACGATATATTCTATATATATTCTGCTTAAGCTCACACAAATATGAATCATTTCAGTTTTGGAATCGATGTGAACTATTTTAGTTGTAATTTCCTATGTTTTGTGAAACATCTTTCTGCATTCATCGTTTCAGCTACATACTTTCCCTGGCGCTGGCTGATTTGCTAGTTATATTGACGACAGTGCCACTGGTGTCGACGGTCTATACCTTCGAGTATTGGCCCTGGGGCAGTTTTCTATGCAGCGTTTCGGAGTTCATGAAGGATGTCTCGATTGGAGTTTCCGTCTTTACGCTAACTGCGCTCTCGAGTGATCGATATTTCGCTATTGTAGATCCGCTGCGCAAGTTCCATGCTCATGGTAAGTGAGGAATTGCACAATCGCTTGCTTCATTGACACGAATTTAATGCAGGGGGCGGCCGACGAGCCACGCGCATGACCTTGGCCATAGCCGTGTCCATTTGGCTGTTGGCCATCGTCTGCGGCTTACCTGCGCTAATTGGCAGCAACTTAAAGGTGAGTGCCACATCCTAGACTGAGTTTAACTTGCCTTTTTATGGGTAAATGCCTTCTATCTCAGCCCCTTGGCATTAGCTCGGAGAAATCGATTGTCATCTGCTATCCGTATCCGGATACCTGGGGCGAGAACTATGCCAAGTTGATGGTAATGCTACACTTTCTAGTCTACTATGCCATACCTCTAGTCATTATTGCCGCCTTCTACGTCATGATTGCGCTGCATCTGATGTACTCGGCGAGTGTGCCAGGTGAAATGCAAGGTGCTGTCAGACAGGTGAGTTATTGGTGGTCAATGATGTGGAAATATATACCATTAAAAGTATGATTTAGATAGAAAGAGGATATTTTAAGTTAAGTTTTTAATATGCATAGGATTTATACTCTTCGCTATAATATACACTATCCGGATATATCTTATTCTATACGCACGTACCACGTACTATCCGGATATACCTTATACCATCACTATTCGAATATAACTTATAATATCAATATCTGAATTTATCTACAATTATACTATATACTATCCGCATATAATTTACATTATCCGGAAGTACCTTACATTATCCTGATATACCTTTTACTATCCGGATGTACCACATACCATCTCTATCCGAAAATAACTTATCTGAATTTATCTACAATTATAATATATACTATCCGGATATAATTTATATTATCCGGAAATACCTTACATTATCCTGATATACCTTTTACTATTCGGATATACCACATACTATCCGGATGTACCTTATACCATCACTATCCGAAAATAACTTATAATATTAGTATCCGGATATGGTCTATATTATCCGCATTTACCTTATATTATCTGAAGATACCTTATATTATCCGGATATATTTCATACTATCCAGCCATGCCTTATAATATTTACACACCATTCCTCGTATACAATAAAATTGTATCAGCTGCGTGCTTCAGGCTGTTACTTAAATAGATTTACATAAATAAAAGAGTAAAAGTGTTTTAGTGGGGAGTGACCGACTAGAGAACTCAAACTAATTACTGTATGATATAGGAGGAACTGAAAGACTTAAGGCGTAGGATATATCAAATTTATTTCAATTTTATGGGCCAATCTTTCCTCTGCCTAAAGCATATGAATTTTAGAAGAGAAAGCTCAAAGTTTGCCCTGAGTAAAATGTGACAAGTGTTTCCAGGGTATATTCAAGTCAGGCATTTGGCACTGAAGCACGCTTACGAGTTTAACATTAATATTATCAAATCGCAATCTGAAATTTGATTAATTTCACAGATAAATAAATGACAGCGAAACGCTGTAAAATATTTAAAACAATTTCACAATCGCTTTAGTCGGCATAAAGTGAATATAAATTGAATAATATTGACTTGAGTTAAAAATTGAATATTTTCGGTTTTTTTACCTTTACCTTGACAACAATATGGCCATCATTGAGTATGCAGATGATTTGCGCTCACCTTGTGCATAAATAAACGAAATTTAATATTCAATTGGAAGCTAACAGATTTATTATTATTGAATTTGAATGTTTTGCAGGTTCGAGCGCGTCGCAAAGTCGCCGTCACGGTGCTGGCATTCGTTGTTATCTTTGGTATTTGCTTTCTGCCTTATCACGTCTTCTTTTTATGGTTCTACTACTGGTAAGTGCTGACTTTTATCCAACACAGCAGCAACAAGGATGTCAGCCAAGGGGATTTGAACGAAGTGAATGTAGTGCTTTCGACCATTGAACAGCACTCAGTCATGCAGATAACGCTGGCTGCACACACACTGCGTATGAGTAATGCCCACACTGCGTATGAGTAATGCAGAAAAGCCATTGGCCATTGGCCATTGGCTATTGGCCATTGGCCATTGTGGCCCTTGGCGCTCTGGTCAATCAATTTCCAACTTGACACTGGATTATGTCTCCATTAGTTCCAAGCAAACATACATATACATATATTGTTTCCTTTTGCCGCGTTTGCAGGCCGACAGCACAACAGGATTATAATACGTTCTGGCATGTACTGCGCATCTTTGGCTTTTGCATGTCCTTTGCCAACAGCTGTGCCAATCCGGTGGCTCTCTACTTCGTGAGCGGGGCCTTTCGCAAGCATTTCAATAGGTATTTGTTCATACACATCACAGCAGCAGAATAACAGCTTAATAACAATAATCGATAAACCGATTACCGATAAAAATGTAATCACTGTTACTGTAAGCGTAAGCCTAACCTGCTATTTCTCTAACTATAACACACAACCAGCTAACAAGCAACAACCAAAACGAATCACGAAACACTTGACCAACTTTTCCTGTTCGCTACACCGAATGCATTGCCCTCTCCCTCATCCACCCCTACCTCCCTCCCTCCCTCTCTCTCTCTCTCTCTCACATATCATCATATATCATAACACAACAGTTGGGATTGTGCCTGAAAGTTTGGCTGAGTTTTGATTGCGATTCTGATGGAAGTTTTTGTTTGCTTACGCCTTACGCATTGCCAAACATCAAATGAGTTTTTTCGGGCACGTTTATAAATATATTTTAAAAGCATTTTCGATGGGGAAAAACAAATATATAAAGTTCAAGCATCTATAAATAAATATATGTATATATATATTTTAAATAAATATATATAAAAGTTTATATATATTTACGTTGATAGATATTTATGTTTCAAAACAAATCCAATGCTTTTTATGAATTTTTCACAACAAAACTATTTCCAAAAATAAAAATAAATATTTAAAAAAAAATTGCAAAATATATTAAATTTATTCTAAAATATTTTATAGTCATTTTAATGTAGTAAAATAATTTTAAAATATTTTATGCAAATTTTTAAAATATTTTATTAAAATTAAGAAATATCTCAAAAAAGTAAGCAAGATATAAAAATTATAAAATATATTTAAATGATTATAGAATATGCTATAAAAATTATACATTATATTTAAAAAATATATTTGAAATATTTAAAATATTACATACATATATATAGATAAAAAAATATATATATGATTTTTTAAATATTTTAAATACTTTTACTATACATAAATTTAAAAAATAACTTAAATATTTTAATGTAATGCACTTTGAGCATATTTCAGATATGTTTTCTGATTGGACTTGCCTTGACTCTAGTCAGATGCTTACAAGAGTCTAGTTAGACTCTTGTAAAGCAAATTTGAACAAATTTCGTTGTTTTTGAAGTTTGCAAAGTAGAAATAAGAGAGCTTAACTAACTTGTTTACTGTTCAAGTGGCTTCCACGTACTTCCACACAGAACTCACATAATTTTCGGGCACATTGTATGCATTCCAACTTCAATTGCAACTGTAATCTAATCATTGATGTTCGCTCTTCTTTGCTTGTCTTTTGTCGCATGGCCAAACATCATTCGCAACGCACTAGATATCTATTTTGTCGTGGCATCAGTGGACGGCGCAAGAAGCGCAATCAGCACAACGACACCTTTTGCATGCATCGCAATACCTCGCTGACCAGCACAGCCTCCAAGCGTTACCAGTCCCGTCACTCCTGCTATCAGAGCACAACGCTGCGCAGGTGAGTTCGTGTAGCTGCAGGCTGATTATGCAGGCGATAGCTAAGCTAGCATCTTACCCACTCGCCATAGCAGCTGTCGCTTGCAGGAGACAACTATTACGACGCTGCCCAACGGAGCCTCCAACATGGCCGTGCCTCTCAACGAGGCGGCAGCCGGCTACGAGTTTACGCCCCTCGGCGGGTTCGGTCCAGTCAAGGGAGCACAGCTGTCGCAGCGGCTGCAGGAGTCGCCCCTAAACTAAGTCGCTGACATCCCCACGGAGTATACAGGAAATATGAAGTAGCAGCAGAAACTAAAACTTTTACATAAATCAAATATGTTACAAAAATGAGAAATTGTAAGAGAAATACTTAGAGCAAGCGAGAAGTTTTTATTTAAGAATTTTAAATGCAGTTAAGTGACGAGCTCGTGTGATTGTAATGCTGTTTAAGCTGTTAAAAAATATATATAAAAAAAAAAAAATATATATATATATATATATATATATATATATATATATATATATATACATATAAAATGAACATACGTAAAGATAACCAAATCTCGAACAACAACGAAATTGAAGCGCAAACCAATTCAGCACTTGAAGGCTCTCCAGAGAGCACGCACTATAAACTTGGCCAAATTGCTTTGGCGAGACCGATTTCGGGAACGGCCTGGCATTAATCTACAAGCTACAAACTTGATGACTTTTAGTTTACTGAAGCTTGTTACGTTGTTGCATAAACCAAATGGAACTTAATGTGTTTTTCATGTCTAGTCGTTCAGCAGCCGTTGCAGCCGCTGCAGCCGGCTTTAAGCTAATCAAAATAGTCCATTTCAAATATCTACAATAAGCTTTAGGCCTAAGACTTGATAAAGCAAACGATTTGAAACGCATTTGTTTCGCGTGCACAGTGTCCTTGTACATAGACCAATTATTAAACACTTAGCTATGTAAATATTTATTTATATATATATATATATATATATATATATGTCTTGTATATTTAAAGATTTTATTTGATTGTTGCCAATAAATGTGAAATTTGTGTCAAATTTGTTTTTCAATGTGAAGGGCAAAAAGTGTTGCCTACTTTTGAGCGTTTGGCTTTTTGTGTGGGCGACTACTGACAATAAAGTTATTGTTACGGGACATTTTATCGATAAACTTTAAGGCGTTAACTTTGAATGCAAACGTAAAAACGGCAAGCGGAAATGGGAGCGTCAAAAGTTGGCCAGTTTGGGTTTGCTTTATAGCTAACCTGGTTGAGTTCGGCTCGGTTGGGTGTCTATAAGATAAGCCGCAATATGATTAATTCGCTTTGGGTCGCACAAACAAGGTGCGGGCTGGCTTTTAAGCTGTGTTTGCTCAAACAACAACTCGATTTCCGGCCATTGCCAAGCTACTTTGACTCCTCAATTAGCTTAAATCAACTTTAAGGCTGCGACAGTCAAACTCGAATGGATTTTACTTTTACCCGATTGTGTGGCAATCGACACATCAACAGAGCCAACAGCAGCAGCTCTGCATCGTCGTCATCATCATCATTGAGTGGGTTCAGTTTTCGCTTGGCAACCGTCAAATGCCACATTTTGCTTAACTTATTAAAAAAGTAAATCCGGCTGTCGCTCCGCTGAGCTGCGAGCCAAGTTGTCATCAGCTGCAAGTCGAGTGGCTTATCAACTGTCCAAAATTGTAACAGACTTATTTTTATGGCTTGTGGTTTTGAATTTCAATTCTATTTTCGCTCATTTCAGTTGCTATCTATTAGGTCGGCCTTCCACAATTGTCGTGTAATTGAATGTTACGTGCGAAGCGCTACTCGAATTTTCTGCAACGCTAATTAGTTGCCCAAGTGGCTATCAAATTTGCAAATCAAATTTAATTAACCAAATTGTGTAACGCAGTAGCTAAGGTTGAAATTGTGGTTCAATATAAGCGCCAAAATTATTATTTTACTGAAAATGCTTAAGCTCCAATTAGTTTCTCAAATCAAAATCAATTTCGATGTGCAAAATTCGGGTCGCAAAATAGAAATGATGATTTTTGTTTAATTAAAGCATATTCAGTGAAGCTTAAAGATTCAATATTAAAAATTGTAACGAAAACCGTACAGTAACATAGAAATTATTAAAGAAAACGTGATGTCATATTGGCAAAGCCACGCTGCAATTAGAAGAAGCTCCAGAATTCCAATTTACACACATATAACTGCTTGCATTCTAATTGGAATTCTATTAATAGCAGCGCAAGCCAGTGAGACTATATTGTATTTGTCACAGCTACTACTTCAGCTTTGCAATTACACAAATTGCCGAAGCGTGGCGTTGTGGTTAAGATGCTGACCACAAGTGAATATTGGGGACTAAATAGACGCGAGTTTGATCCTTGTCGAGGATGATGGGTGATGCCCGCCAACCACTTTTTAAGTAGAAACTCAATTTTATCTTTTATATAATAAAATGTGTAGGTGGGAATCTGCCTGGAGCTGAGATAGGCAAATGCCCCTATACACTATTTAGACAAAATTTAAAAAAACCAAATACTTTATGTTTTTTATGAAAGTATTAACGCACGTGCCAAATTTTGTGGATCACTTTCTAGACCAATTTAATTGAATGGAATTCAAAGGTAATTTGATAACCTTAAGAAACTTACAAATCTCCGTTTCTTTTTTTTTTTTTATGTTGGTATCTCTGAACTTTGTTGTGCACTTATACATTTCTCAGAAACCTCAAGCAAACCCAAAGCGATTACCTAGGCAATGCGAGCAATGACGCACTTTGAAGCTGCTGCTGCTTTGTATCCCTTTGGTGGTTTTTGCGGTGACATTGATTTAATATTAAGCGAAAGTCAAGGTATAAAAACAGGTGAAAATTAAGTGTATTTCCATTAAAATGAAGTATTTGTAATGCATTTAATTATTTATCTCCTATTCGAAAGGCCATTAATATTCATTTCAGAAACGCACCAAGTGAGTCGACACTTAAAACCACAATAACAACAACTGTTAGGGAAGCCATAACGGGAATACAATAACACACGGCACACAAACAAATAAAAGACGAACACAGGCACAATAATAATAATAATAATGGCAAGTGGCTGAAGCGTATTAAACATATGTGTGAATGCTGTAACTGTGGGCTGAGTGCGAGAGAGTGAGAGAGAGAAAAGAGGGTGGGTTAGCTATTGGTGTGAGTCTAACTGTAGCAAATAAATAAAACGATTTGAGACACACAGCGGAAATGTAAATACAAAAAACCTCAAGGTGCAAAGCAGAATGCGCAAAGAGAAGGAGAAGGAGAAGGAGAAGGCGAAAGAGAAGAAGAAGGAGAGGGCAAGGGCAAGGGCGAAGGAGAAGCAGAAGCAGAAGGAGCTGAGTAGTTGCTAATCGTAAATTGTGTTAAGCAGCAGGCAAACGAACAGCAGCCAAAGCAGAGAGAGAAAAGTAGGCAGCTTAATCTAGCAGACACGCACACACACACACACACACAGGAACACACTCATTCATCTAGAGTCGCATTAACGACATAAGAATTGGCACTCAATAAGCGTGAGGGCACTTTTGGGGCGACGCATACACACGGAGAAACCCACACACATACAGATAAAGAGACTCACACACATACACGTGTGACAGAGGTTAGGCACGTAGTCCCGTTTGCTCGCCCGCTGACGACATCGGCAACGGCATCGCCAAGACAACGCCCACACAGCTGGCCATGCATTTTAAATACATTAAATACCTATGAAGAGATACAATTTCAATGCGTTCGGTTCGGCACGTCACTCAATCGGCATTATTGAGCTTGGACAAACACTTTACGGTATTAGAATATTACATTGGCGGCCTTATGTAACGATTGCAATACTTTATCAATGTGCGAGAGAGCATTAAACTAGACAATCGAAGGGACGATAAGAGCTTTATCTTAACTTTACATGTTGAACTGTGCGAACTGTGCGAACTCTCAAACTGGAGCTCTGATTGAACTAGCTTAATGTGTCCTTCGAATCTGTTATCGAAATACTAAGAAATGCATATGCTCGACTAGGCCATACCCTAACTATGGCATATAGACCAAAACCACGGTTTTCTCTGCCTGTTACAAACATGAGCATAGAAGCAAGATGCCCTTCTAAGCTAATTGTAATGTATAGGGTACATAATTAGGGTCTTGAATTTGAGAATATATTCCATATATTCCATTTTCAATGGATACAGGGTATAACAAGGTCAAGGTCAATCTCATTTTACATGCATACAGGGTATACAAAATTAAGCAAATTTCCCAAAATCACACTTTTATTAAGTACAGGGTATACCCAATCAGTCCACTTAAATAGTTACAGGGTATTACAAATTTGTATGAAATCTGTGAAATGCCTAAGTCTCATCAATCTTGCATACAGGGTATACAAAGTGAATATATTGATTAATATATACGCATACAGGGTATGCAGAATGTATCTATTGTCATGAAATGCTATTTATTATCAGGTATAGGGTATGAGCAAGCCATACTTTCTCCTTGAGTCTGAACTTCAATAAGTACAGCAAACATTTGTACAGGGTAAAAATGAATGAAGTATGAAACAACGAGCAGCCGGCTGCTATATGTTGATATATTAAATATTCAATAATAAAATGTGTCCCAAAATTTAATTGAAGTTAATTAACCTTTTCGGTCTGTCAGCGAATCTGTTTTGGGCCAATGTACATATGCCACAAATATCAATTAAGACGATTCGATAAATCTCAATCGTAGTTTATTAGCTATTCACAATAGTAATTCACGATTCCACACGCTCCAGTTGGGGCTGCTCCTGTTGGGTAGAAGGTGAGCCACTCGCTCTGCCCCACGCACCACGCACACTCCCATAAAAACAAAGAAGAAAAGCATCACCTGCTGACTTGCCATATATATTAAGCTGAAATAACACTCCTTCTGCCACGCCCACCTCGAGCACACACTTTATGATAAGCTCGGGGCAAACACAGCCTCACACACGCACGCATTCTGTCGGCTCGAGTTCGAGTCTATTTTAAGCATTTACAACTTTATTGCGCCTTGGTCAAAAGTAGCCCAAGTGACCAGCCTATCTGGCCCCAATGTTCGGGCTGGCGTGGCTAAGCCAGATTTCAACTGTGGAGCTGTGGAGCTGGGGGAGGCAATCACAGTGGGCGGTCGTTGCCACAACGGGTGGCTTATGGCTGGAGGCTGCTTCATGTGTACCTAATTGCAGAGCGAGGGTTCGAGTCCCGCTGCCAAAGTATGGGCAACATCAAGCATACGCCTCGTGTGACAAGGGCTGACAGTAATTAAGCAACTCATAAGCGTGCCAGCTGCCTAGCTGAAGAATCATCCAATTCACTTCTATCCCGTCCAGGCGATAATTATTTAAATGGCGT